AAGCTGCTGGGTCCAGGACTCGAACTGTGGTTGACTATGTGGAAGTCCAGCAATGTAAACATTACATCATTTGCTGGTCCCCAAAATTTAGAATTTAATTCAGACCTCTAATCCTGGCATGCAAGATCCTATATGATTTGGCCCCCACCTACTTCTAAACACATCATACTGCTCTCCAAGCAAGTGTGTTCTTACCAATTCGTTCCCACCTCAAGGCCTTGGCACTCGCTGTGCCCTGTATCTGTAATGATCCTACCCAGGCTTTCTGTGGCTGGTTCCTCATTTCACACTCAGGAGGTGTGCTTTCTCAGAGACGACCATCACTTAGACCTCCCAGTACAGAGAAACATTCCACCAAGTTTGGGGTCACTCTGTATCCTGTCCTACTACCTGTTTTGTTTTCTTCGTTGTGCTTACCACTCTCTGAATATGTTTACTGCATCTTTAATTTTGTCTTAATCAACTGCATTGCTCACCTAGAATAAAAGTTCCACAAGAGCAGGAATCTTGTCTGTCTTATACACTGTGCTCCTAGCACCTTGGCACCTCATTGCCACTAAATGCTTCAAGTATTTAAAGGAAGTGAAGGAAACAGTAAAAATCAAGTCCTATTTGGTTAATTTAAATGGATCTCACTTGGGCCTTAGTGAGGTCCAAAAATGAGAATAAACTAGATGACTTTGATGGAAAAAGCTCAGAATGCTTTTCTGTAGCCTGTGTAAATGGGCCTTCCTAATGAGATTTGCCACAGGTTGCACAGAGCTGGTTCGTGTATTTTCCTAAGTAACTTTTAGGGCTCTGAGATGTGCAATGATCCCAACAGTACCAGCAACTCCTCTGCTCCTTTTTATTTTCTTAAATTAGCTACTTACTATTATATTTTCCACTGTCTGTGGAGACATTCTACTTTTCTATGGAAACAGCCAAGACAGTTGTGAGCCTATCCTTTGAGGATCTCCTGGTTCAATAACAGCTAAATGCTCCATATTCCATTCCTAATATTTCTTTAACTAAGCCTTTAGGTCCCTCCCAGAGGACCACAAAATGGCCTCCATTTTCTGACTTTGTAGCATTTTTCATGAGCTTTTAAGTTATAACTAATTTTTTTCTATTCCCAGGGTATAGCCTAGGTCCTTTAAAGTGACTACAAAGAGGTTTCACTTGTCTATTTAGGGAGCTTCCCCAAAATTAATCCAAAATAATAGGGCCTAGAAATTACATTTTCTCAGGTGGCATGGCTGATACTACTGGGATGGGCAGGACAAAAGTGAGAGTGGGAATGAGTGGGAGGAAATACAGGAAGAAGGTGATGAATGCTTTTCTTTCCACTGAGTCTCTGGCAACACTAGATAACTGGGTTCCCATCCACAGAAGAAATGGAAACTTAGATTTGACTGCCTGCCATGCTCCCTCATGTATCTAGTGGCGGTTGCTAAATGCATAAAGAAAACCTAATGGCATGATAACCACAGCTACTACCAAGATGATTCTGAACACTGTCCTAGGAAAGAATACTCAAGTCTGTGTCAGGATTTGTAATCTGATTTTAGAAAGGTATAGAGAAACCATATGGATATTTTCCCCAGGTTTTTTGTTTTTTGGGGTTTTTTTGGAGAGGTTTTCGCTATAGGGCACGTGCACTCACCAGACAGACAGAGAGAGACATAGAGACAGAAAGCGAGAACTCACCCCCCAGGGGGGATGGTTACGCTGCAATCCCTTCTCCTCCATTCTCCTCTCAGGATCTTGGGCATGCACGCACACGCACCCAGCGTGAGTTCTAAGCCACCGGGTCTGGGACTCGAACCACAGTCGACTATGTGGGAGTCCAGCGACATAGCCATTACGCTAACTGCTGGTTCCCGATATTTTCCCCAAGTTTTATGAGCAAAGTCATTTCAATGGAAATTTTCTATGCCCAAAATATGTAAGTTACTCTAAATTAAAAACAAAGTGGGTTAGGGGCAAGAATCACCAGTGAACAATGCCTCAAAGTTCCATTTTTTGAAAGGATATTACCTCATCAGTTCTTATAGAAAGGTTTAAGGTTCTTGTTTGTCCCTATTGATCAATAATAGGCTAGTAGAAAATTTAAAAAAGTATACTATCTATTCCTGTTCTAGTAAATACATTCCAAAATATATCTCCTGTGAATGAATACTGTGTTTCCAGTACTGGACCAGAACAAAACTGTCAGGCAGAGTTCTTGGGATATAGACCTAGGTCTGGGGCTGGGGAGCAGTAAGCAGTTAGGGGCAAGGACATGTACCCAGAGCAGTGCCACCTTTACAGAGTAACAAAGGTAGCTACTCCAGTTCCTCCCATTCCTCCTGTCCCTAAATGTCCTGAGTCAGCACTTCATCTAGTATGCTAAAAGTCACCAAACTCTCCCTCCACCCCACCCCACTCTCCTCTGACTCCTACTGTTCATTCTGTTGAAGACATTGACATTCTCTTCACTCTCCTGTGAGGAGGAGAGACTGTGGACAATCCAGAAGATGATGAAGACTCTCCAGTGGGGATATTAATATCAAATGTTTTTCTCTGTTTGCTAAGGCCCCCAGAGTAGTTTACTTATAAGACTGCTTAAGCCCATCTACCTTCTGAGATGCCCTTCTGCCCCCATGGGAGACACATACCCTTTCACACAAAGGCTTCAGTGCCACTTCTTCCCTGCACTCAGATCAGGGCAAGTCCAGACGGGGTTGGTCAGTCTGATGTCTAAGCAGGTGTTTGCCCAAGGTATGCAGCGCCCCTCCTGCTGCCCTTCCACCAATTGCCATGAGTCACTGTCTTGGAGAAAACCTTAAAAAAAAGGTTTCCACTAGGAGCACCCTGCCTGCTCATAATGCCAGTCGACTATTCTATCTTCCTTCCTGCCCTCCTTTTTATAGGGGTGGGTGGCCCGTCTGTTGTTTCCTGGGGCTCTCTATGGGAAGTGGTAGGCATATTACCACTTGTTGTAAGCCTGGGACAGTCAGAAACACCCCACTCACCATCCTGAAACAGGCAATTCCCGTACAGAGCAGCAGTCCTGCCCCCCCAGTAAGAAATGCAAATGCAATAGATGATTTTTAAAATATTTCTAATTTATATTTTGAGAAAATTTTTCACAAGATTGTATGTTCTAACTTCTATTAGTAACAGAACTACTTACAGTGCCACTCAGAATTCAGAATTTCAGGAACCAGCAGATAGTATAATGGTTATATCACTGGACAGCACGTAGTCAACCATGGTTTGAGTCCCGGACCTAGTGACTTAAAACTCACACTGGTGTGTGTGTGTGTGTGTGTGTGTGTGTGTGTGCCCAAGATCCCAAGAGGAGAATGAAGGAAAAAGGATTGTGGCGTGGCCATCCCCCTTTGGGGGGGTGATTTCTCACTTTCTGTCTTTCTCTGGTGAGCACATGCACTCTATAGCAAAAACTCTCAAAAAAAAAATTCAGAATTTCAGACACAAAGAAGTAATGGCCGTGTCTATAAAATTAAAATATAAATAAATAAATATAGAAATTTGGAGGAAGGGAACACCACAGGGCCATTCAGTATATTAATAAACACTATTTTGCCACTTAAATATATTAAAGCTACCATTATTACTTTCACCATTGCCATTATTTTATAAAAGATCATTTTAGCAAAAGGAAAAAAACTGAAAAAAAAACTTTTTGATTCCCAGGAAAAAATAGGTCAGTCTCTGAAAAAGGAGCATTTACCTTCGTGGTGAAATATAATAGTTTCTGCCTTCCACATTTCACTGTAAATCTATGAAAACCTCCATCAAAGCCACCTTCTGAGGCTCTGACAGGTCTTCGAGAGGCTTTGGTTTTCTGTCTTCAGCCTAAGAATAAACTGGGAATCTGGGAGTTTTTCTTTAGAAACTGACACTCATCCCAGAGCATCCCAAGCAGCACAGAGGAAAGCCCTGAGACCCTGTCCCAGATCAATCCAAGGTCACTACAATTGTAGGGTGACACTGCGCAAGGACACTATGCTCCCCTGGCTCACGCCCTGATTGTACTACACTAGTGAAGGTCTTCCCATTGGCCTTTGGCTCCCAGACACCAATTTTCACAATAAATAAAACACAAAGGCTTATCTTCAGATTTCATTCATCTCAAAATCTGCTTGAAAGAGAACTGAAAGTGTCCATTTGAATGCCATCTATGCAGTTGACTTCCTCATCTTCACTATTTTGATTTCAGATATAGGAGCAGGGAGGATAAGCAGGTAATGATTTTACTTCCACCCTGATGCCAACATCCAGCTTTTCATTTATCAAGACAATGCTGACAGTTGATTTTCACAATGGAAAAAGCCTTCTGATTTATCATCAAAATCCAGCCAAACCATCCATTTCCAGGCCTTTTGTAAGGATCTTGTGAATTACAGCAGAGAGAAGGGGAGAGCAAGCTGGCTGTTATAACAACCATAACAACTGCAATGACCGGAGGAAATGGCAAATGTTACAGGAAGACTCTAGGCTTCTTTCAATGGCAGTTAAGGGAACGGTGGATTGAGTACTTTTCATAACTAGCAACTGTAATTATCAAGAACATTCAAGGCAGTATGAGTCCTGATACTGCCGAATGAGCCATTTTTGCACCGCAAAGTCCACTGAGGAGAAGAAAAGAGATCATTTTATCCTCCCAATAACTACAATTTTATATTGGTAAATCAAGCATAAAATTGGTGGTTGAAAAGTTTCCAGGAGTCTTTGTTTAGAAATACCTTCATTCTTCTATATATTATCTCAGAGTCTAGCTTTGCGAACTACTATCATTCCAGGAGATAAAGCAATCTCTCTGCCACATTACTATTACTGACTTCCAAACATGCTATTATTGGGGGGCTCGTTGAATGCTGTTTGAAATAGCGAGACCATAACTCAGGTCGACAAAGCAGTCACTGGAGTTAGATGACATTCTTTAACCGAGCGTCTCATTTGCCTCTAAATCATTCCCAATGTTTGTCTTTTTTTCTTTTTTTTAAATTCAGGCATCATATCAACGTTTCTTCATGTCCATCCTTTCGGAGCCAATATAGAATATCTTTGGTCATACATGCAGCAGCTGGACTCCAAGGTAAATTATTCTTCTCAAGTGAACTTTCATTGCAGAAATTTAGCGCGTCGATTGCCAACTGCAGGTGGACTCCATGTGAGCTGCATTAGGGATGTAATAGCGTCTGGGCATTTATCAGCACTTCTCCACCAGGATCTCGGGTTTTGGCAAATGGTTGTCTTCTTTTTGCCTGCTTTTGTCTTTACAGAAAGAAAAGTGGGTCTCTAAAATGACAATGACTTTCAGCAGATGCCAAATTACTTTGAAAAGCTTCTGAGAGATGTAAAATTACAGAATGGCCTGAAAGTTTCAAAACATGGGGGAAAACAGATGAAGGTGGCTAATGGGGCATATTCCTTAGACCATAATCTCTTAGGATTTTACACTAACGACTTCATACGCTACAGAAAATCATCTCCAATACTGTAACAATGGTATATGACTCTTAAGAAAACTGTATTGAGGGATGTGTTTCAGCATTATCCTCTCTTGGGAAGAACCACTGCAAAAATTGTTCTCAGTTGTTCTCAGGGTCAGACAGCATTCCTCATTTCTTAGAAAACTCATTTTTTCCTCATCTGAAAATTAGCTATATGCCCATCCCAATGCAGTATTCAAGTATCTGGAAAGAAGGGGCAAAAAGGAGCTCAATTTATATATCAAATTTGAGTGAACAATGAGAGGGGCCACTATTGAAATAGAAGGTCATTGACCAGGACTACTGGGAGAAGATTAGGAAGGGGAGGGACACAGACCCAAATTGAAGAAGCCACAGAAGTCCCTGAGGAGTCTGTTAAGTTTCCTGCTGCCAATGAAATCAAATAAGTAAGAAGTTCCTCCACAGGGCACAGCAAACAAGGCGCATGGGATTTGTACATCCAGACCCACAACTTGCAGTTCAGTGACCCCAAGTAGACATGTATGCGTCATTCTAAATGGTCACTGGCTAGTGTGGGTTAAATGACTTCATTGTATTCTTATTTTGACTCAAATGGTCTTACCAATACTTGATCAGAGAACTGTTTGACCTTTTAAATAATACTTCCACTTTGAGAGAAATCATCTGGAACAGAGAGTATTTTTCGGTCATAGTGATGCATGCCTTTTTATGATAGGGTAGACCAAAACAGGGTGAAAGACGTTAGGAAATTATAAAATTCTTAAATTTTGGAATCATATTATCACTTTCTCTGTAGCCTTCCCTCGCATGGATAGGGAAGTAATGGAAAATGTTCGTCTTAAACTCGGATGAAATGGGAAGGCGGGGCTGTACCATGTTGCTTTGCTGTAATAAGCTTTGAAGGGTTTCTTTGGCTTTTGTTTCTATTTTTTTTTTCCTTTGCTAACATCGTTCTTCCTTCATATCACCACCACTCCCTTTGCCTGGAGGATTAAATGAAATACTAGTTGCACCAACGTGTTCAGCATAGAATAAGCCCTCCAGGAATTATTCTTATTGTTGCTATTATCCTTCCCTCGTATTGTTGATATTTCCTTCCTCCCCTTTCTGGAAATCTCAAATAAAAAGCCTTTCCTGAGAAGCAGTTGTTTTAGTATGCCCTGAAAGAGCTGCAGAATCCTCTTATTATTTACCTAAAATTTTCAGAGGACTCTGGTTTCCATTGTGCCATCACTGAGGTTGATGATATGTGCATCCATGAAGGGTGTGTATGTGTGAGTGTGTGTAAAATCACCCAGGGGGGAGGTGGAAACTGATAAACCACAAATTTCTTTTGGTGGGGTGAAAGCTTTTGTTCTGTTCTTAACCCACAGAACAGAACTCGGGGGAGATTACTGTCACCTACCTCTCTCTGAGGAGAGAGAATTCACACGCCTGTTCCCTGGCTATTAGACAATAAGTTTTCTGGGAAGGGTTCGACCTACAGGAATTTTGTCTCATTGCAGACTAATACTTTTATTTTAGAAGATGATGAAGAAAGTATTTCCCGCACAAAGGAAATACACAGGATCTCCCCTCTGCTGCCCAGACAGCACTTCATCTCCTGATGAAAACACCCCGTGGAACTGTCAAGTTTTTTTCTCATGCCCGAGGCAAATATATATATTTACATACACACACACACACACACACACACACACACACACGCACATACACACACAAAGTGTTCTAATTAAAACAACAGGGTGTTGAGCATTGGACCACATATTCTTCCTATCCCAGTGAATAAAGCTAGAGAGGATATTTAGACTTATTAATCCAGAGAGTAAATTATTACTGTAGAATTGAAGTCTACATCCTTGGAGCTTTAAGCAAAAAATAAATAAATAAATAAATAAATAAATAAATAAAATAATGAGAGGTTTGCCCTCTACGTATCCACCAGGGCCTTGTCCCCACGTCAGCTGCCAAAAGGCTCTTAGTCTTAGAGCCAGTCAGCCTGTGGCTGCTGGGGTCCCAGTGCCCCTGCCTCTGGTTAATCACAGCCCCCCACCAAGTTCTGGTTAGTGTTGCATGAAGGCAGAGGATTCTGTCCTGCCACTGCAACACAGGGGGTTTGCTGACTCCAGTCAGATGGCGTTTTTAAAATTCCACTTAAAATAACAGTTTCCTTGAGATTTGACAGCATCGCCATTAGCACAACTGTTGTAAGATAACATGTGGATTCTGCCCACCCCCGACTGAGTAGAGAAAGGAGAGCAGGCTCAGCCAGCCCTGTAATGCAGCTGTTTTTATTAGGTTTTCCCTGGAGGCCACACATGGGTATAAGAATAATTAGGAATGAAAGGAGAGGCAGGAATTAATTTAAATTATTCTGGGCAGACCAGCCGGTGGCATAATGGTTAAGGCAGCTGGATCCCACATGGCTGATTGTGTGGTTCAATGTTGTGTGGTTCACCAGCCCTGGTGCCTTGAAAAACATGCCAGGTGTGTGCCAGTGTCCCAAATTCCAAGAAAAGAATGGAGGAGAAGGGATTGCAGCATGGCCATTCCTTCTGGAGGTTGGTTTCATATTCTCTCTCTCTCTCTTTCTCCTCCCCCCTTAGATCTCACTCCCTCTCTGGCAAGCTTATGTGCTCTATAGCAATTTTTTTTTAATGCCAGGCATATAAATTGCACATGAGACCATATAACCCAATAACAAGTAATTTTGTAATTAAATATTATCACTGCATGTGCATATTTCTCTTTTCAGTCTGCCTAAACTGCCCACCCATATTCATCCTGCTTCAGAAACATATGACAAAGTCTGATTGTGATAGATTAATTCAGAGGAAAAAAGGGCAAGGGCCAGGAGACAATCGTTCCCTAAAATTTTGCTGAGTCGAAAGCTGCACTCTAGACCAGCTCTATGGAACAGTGAAGAGAGAGAGAGAGAGAGAGAGAGAGAGGGAAAAGCATTGCTCAAGAGAAGCTGGATCCCACATGGTGATCATGGTTTAAATCCCTGGCCCTGTCAGTCTAAAATATGCCAAGGACACACATGAGTGCCCAAGATCTAACAGGCTGGAGGATTAGGGGAAGGGGATCGTGGCATGACCAGACCCTATGAGAGTACTTTCTCTCTCTCTCTCTCTCTCTCTCTCTTACTCTTTCATATGTATGTACTCTATCACGAATTAAAAAAAGTCCCCTAGGCAAAGGAAGGTAAGCTCTTCAAACTAGATAACACTGTCTTGAAAAATGGTTTCTTATCAAGACATTGAATCTTCCATGCCTGCCCCAAAGCCCAAACCACTTTCTTGCTGATCTCGAGCAGCGCAGAAGACATTTAAGCTGGATATTAACAAGTGAATATTTCCTATCTTACAGTCAAGATGGAAGTTCCTTGACTCTTCCCTCCAGTGTGTATTCTTCAGGAGAGTAATATTCAGTTGCCCAAGTGTATCTGGCTGCTCCCACTACATATCTTCAGCCTCTTTCTGAGGCCCAAAACATGGCCCAAACTTGATGTACTGTGAGCACAGATGCTGGAAGAATGGATAAACCCATTGTTTGAACATGGCACCACTGTTGGGTAACTAGCCTGGGTACTTTGGGGTATGAGTGCATTTCCCACCAGAAGGGAAAATTACCTGCATTTCTGTTCTAAAAACATACCCCTGGAAATGTATTTTTTTTAAAGAGATATGTTTGCTATAGGGTGTGTATGCTCATCAGAGAGACAGACAGAAAACAAGAAATCACCCCCCAGGGAGGATGGCTGTGCCGTATCCCCTTCTCCTCCATTCTCCTCTTGGGATTGTGGGCATGCACACACATACGCACGCACACACACACACACACACACACACACAGCATGAGTTTTAAGCCTCTGGGTCTGGGACTCAAACTGCATTCTACTACGTGGGAATCCAGCGACATAACCATGATGCCATCTGCTGGTCTCTGGAAATGCAAATTTTAAATATGTTGCCAGTTTCAAGGAGATTCAAATCCTGCCTTAATTGGATAGCATTCTTTCCCGGACTATAGCTGGTTAGTGGGTGGGTGCAGTGTTCTTGATGATGTTTGTAAGATTGCCCCCAGGAGTAATCTTTAATATTATGATAGTTTAGTATTCCCCTAATAGCTACCTGTCACAGTATGTTAATGAGTGCACGAGTTTTCTCTTGCTCAGACAGACAATAGCGGAAGTGTTTTTAAGACATTACAGCACTTCTGGAAAGCATATGAGAGTGGAGGTAACAATATTTTCCCTTGACTACACAAAGCTGCTCACCTACTGTGAGAGAAGTTGACAGGATTACCAGAGCCCCAGAGAATGCTAGGATAATTTACTGCTTTCCACATATTCAGCAGCATCCTAGGGACTAGAAAACAAGGGCACTAAAGAAATCTGTGATAAAATCCCGCTCTCAACAAGCTTGTGTATAATGGGCATAATATTTATGGCATAACTTGAGAATCAGACATAAACTAATAAAGTTTTAAATTGGATGGGGCATGTGTTCAGTGAAATGGGAGTTAGATAAGGGTGAAATTGGTGAGTGGATCAGGACCAACAGTAGGGTATCCTTGAGTCCAGCCATACATATTCTGTTGGTTCCTTTGGGGTGCT